TTGACTACGACTCCCGTCATTCCCAGCGAGTGGGGGGTTAGTCGGGGGGAGGGGGGCATAGGAGGCTTGATGGGGGGAGTTAGGCTGGATTGCCAGTCCAGCAATTGGATGCTTCTAGACTCCGGAATTGATCGCCATATGTCCCCCGCCTTGGATCTTAGCCATAAGTATTACATACTCTGCCTGTATCAAGGGATAGTAAGTCAGCCATGCCGCGTTTGCCCCCCGCCCTCCGCCCAGTTGTGTATTTCCGAGGTCCCAGGCCTGCTGCCCTCCCCCCCCTCTCTTTTTCAGGAAAGGGATCTGGGTCAGTAGTTGGGAGATGCCATAGAGGCAGAAGGTTGCAGCGGTGCCAGGAGGTTAAGCATTGATTGGGGTGGGGAGACAGACCTCTTTGGAGGGAGGAGATCTGGAAGGAGGATCCTGGGGCGACTTGGGGTGGCAGCGGGAGGAGCAGAGCCAAGTCCGCTGTGAGCTGCTTAAGAGGTGGGGGACACCTGAGAAGAAGCCCTGGGAGAGCTGGGCCTTGAAGTCATCAGGCCTGGGGAAAACATTGGAGGGTCTGTGAAATGCAGTCGCGTGAGACGGAATTGGGAGGCATGGTTTGATGGGAAGAAAAAGGGGCGAGGTGAGGTTCTGGCAAACTGGGATGATATAATGCAGGGCAAGACCTGAAAAGAAACATTTAAATATTGTTCAAGTGAGTTCTTTAAGGTGAACGCCTTGGGGCAGGAGGAGCTTGGTGGATCAGTTATCAAAAGATAAGCATCCTGTGAATGTGAGATAAGCCAAGTGTATTGTGGTTCTAAGCGGGCTTTGTGCAAACCTTTCTAATGGCTGGGAACTGGAGGCCTCTGGTTTTCTTCAGTGGTTTCTCTTTTCCTTTAATAGTGACCCTGAGCAACAAACCGCCATGAATTCTTACCTTGATCATTCCTGCAGCAGCCTTATTAGGATGGCATTGATCAATCCCATATGATAGACCATGAAAATCCTGTTTTGACCAACTTGTCTTGGCTGAACTGGGATCTAAGTCCAAGCCTCTTAAATCCAAGCCCCCATCCCCGCCTGCCATGGAGTATTTGGACAAACATGATTAACAAGGAAGGCTTTGGAAGAGAGTTGTGTAGTGACTGTAGTTGCCTGGAAAGATGGGGTGTTGTATAATTCTAAAATGAAGGAAGTGTGTGTGGGCATCCTTGTACCACTTTGGAATCTCCCACAACATCCAGCATTAGAAGGCGTAATTGGGAAAAACTCCTAGTGAAAAATATACATGGCAATAATGAGAAAATAATAAGAATACTCTTATGACTTAGATGCCACTTTTTGAGAATTCGGAGTGTTTTGCCTGTTTTTATTTCAACCATCCTTCGAAGATTCTTGTTAGGTTAGTATATCTGTCCTTACTCCAAAGGTTTGGAGGGTTGGGATCTAAGGCTCAAGACTTGCCTAAGACTATTTCTAAGTAGGTATGTAAGATTGAGTTTTACACATGAGTAAGATTGTTGCAAGGCTTGAATTAAGGCCTTCCTGGGTTTTGCGGTGACTTAAGGAGCTAGATGTCTTTCAGAGATGACAAATGAAGAAGGTAGATGGAGAGCCACTTTCGTATAGGGGTTAAGGCACTAGGCTAGAAACTGGGAGACTATGAGTTCTAGTCCTCTCTTAGGCACAAAGTCAACTGGATGACCTTGGGCTAGTCATTCTCTCTCAGCCCCCAGGAAGAAGGCGGCAACAGCAAATTACTTCTGAAAATGTTGCCAAGAAAACTGCAAGGACTTGTCCAGGCAGCTCCCAGGAGTCAACACTGACTCGAAGTCATTATCTAGATGGGTGATACAGAACAGGAAGAATGTCTAGAAAGTATGTCTTTGTAGGAGATGAGTATGCTTTCCCCTAATTGGAATATAAAGTTTTAAATGAGTACTGTAATAGTATTACTACTACTCTTAGGATTTTTTCCCCCATTCAGTCGTGTCTGATTCTTGGAGGCTGCCTGGACAAGTCCCTGCAGTTTTCTTGGCAAGGTTTTTCAGAAGTGGTTTGCCATTGCCTCTTTCCTAGGGCTTAGGTAGATGTGTAGGCTCTTAGGTAGATGTGATTAAATTCACTTTTCCTTTTGGAGAGTTGTAGTGGATGATCAGTGTGCTATGACATCTGCTGCACTGTAATGGGGCAAGATCCCTTTGGCAAGATTGCAAGATTATAATTTAAATGTGTACAACTGAGTATTCTAAATTGCTCTAAACGTCATTCTCAATTAGACAAATAGGCTGTATTTAACATTGTTTAATTATGTTCTGATGAATAAGCTACAATGGCAGGGTTCATATAGCATGTGATACTTAATATAACCAGGCTCACCCTTATAAACCGCAATGTGGTTTGCTTGTATGTGGTTTAGTATGTAATTTATAAAGCATATTTATTTATTAAATTTGTATGTCGCCCATCTCCCCCAGAAATACTTTAATATACTGGTTTAATGTAGTTTGTTAGCTGAGCCAGTCATGGATTTTTAAATTATGATTGAGCAAACTGTGGCTTGATATATTGTATGATACACACAGCCTTTGTGAAAACCTGGTTGTTTATTAAATAAACCATGGTGGCCTAAGAACTCATCCCTGCTACTTCTTTCCTCTTAGGTTACTGAGGAAAAGTTTGTGAACCTTTTAGAATGATCTATAATCTGAGATGTAGTCAGAATTTTATCTAAGAGACTGCTTGAAAATCAATAGATAAAGAGAGAATTAACAGATAAAAACAACTTCCCAGTGTATTGGGTCATGCCCTTATTGTTGCATGTTAAGCAAACATTAACTGTGACTGGAAAAGTGTGTGTAATCAGGTCATGCAGTGATCCTGAACACAAACAGATCAGTAGAATGGCTGAAGAAGAGATGTTGCATTTTGGAATCTCTATTAGTATGACTTTAATGAAGCTTTGATTGCATTAGACATTACACAAACTATCACTGTAATTGTGGGGGCTGTGTTTCCTTCTGGTACAAGGTAGAATAGTACTTTGGGTGATAATTACCACCAGCAGCCTCTGCTTGAAATGAAATTTTGGGAGAGTCACTGTGGCATAGTGGTTAAAGTCGGGGCAAACAAGAGGTCACCATCCAGAAGCGGATAGAATTCAGCTCCAGTCGTCCCTCAGCTTTGGGTATGGTGCCAGGAGTGATTGGAGTTGGAGTTTAATCACTTGTGGAGAACAACATATTACTCATCCATGCCTTAAGAGTAGTGTTTCTCAACCTTGGCAACTTTAAGATGCATGGACTTCAACTCCCAGAATTCTAGAGGTTGAAGTCCACACATCTTAAAGTTGCCAAGGTTGAGAAATGCTGCCTTAGAGTTTTGCAGTAGGACTAGAGAGGCCCTGGGTTCAAATCCTGGTGTGTTACTACTATATAAAGGAAGAGAACTTTGTGTACTGTTAAAGAAGAGGGAAAGCTATAAAGATTGTTATCAGCAAACAACGGTGGCTGAATGCAGTGAATTTGGAAGCCCGGTGGATTTGTTTAAAAACAAGGAAGTAGTGGCTACTTATAGGGGAGATGTTTTCTGATGTGCAAGGTAAAAGAACATGTCAAGCACATCCCTTCCCCCTGATCTTGGTTTGAAGATGTCTGGTGAAGGAGAACCTACCACCTTAAGTAGCAGCCTGTTCTCCTGGCTGATCTCTTGGTTCTGATCCTATCCTCGGAGGCAGTAGAGAATAGGTCCACTCTCTCTTCTATGCAACAACCCTTTAGGTATTTCTCTTCCCTCAACCCTTTTGCAAACTAAACACAGGTTCTTTCAACTGGTTTTCATAAGGCTTGGATTACAGATGCTTTAGCATCTTGAGAGCTCTCCTCTGTGGCCACTTCAATTTGTTATTGTCCTTTTTGGATTGTGGTACCCAGAACTGAACCCAGTCTTCCAAGCAGAGTATGACCAGGGCAGAATAGAGTTGAACTATTAGTGCTTATGATCTGGATTCTGTGATCCTGTTAATAAACTTCAGGATGGGTTTTTCCTTTTTAACAGCTGCATCAGAGTACTGGCTCACGTTTAACTTGTGGTCAGTAAGAACATCCAGATCATTTTCACATGTATTGCTACTGAACCAAGTCTACCCCATCCTCTAGGCACATATTTCATTTTTTTCTTCCTAGATGCAGGACTTTACATTTCCTTTTGGCCCACTGTTCCTCCTTATTTACATCTTTTTGAATCTTCTCTTCTGTAGTATTAGCCACTCCTCCTAGTTTTGTGTTACCTTCACATTTAATAATCATCCTCAGCACTTTCAACCAGGTAATTTATAAAAATGATGATCAGCATGGGGCCCAGTTAGAGCCCTGTGGCACTCCACTCACTGTTGTTCTCAAGCTGATACAAATATTTGATATTTATGCATATTCTTTGGGTGTGGTCATTCAGCCATCTATGAATCCATCCAACAGTTGTGTCACTTAGACCATAATTTACCATTTTATTAATGAGAATTAAACTTCTGTGACTATGAGACAGCAGGTACAGGGCTAAAATCTTATCTAGAAGCATGTTCAGTGTTTCATAGCTCTCATAAAAGTTGCAGTGCAGATATAATTTTGTACTGAGAAATAAGATTACAAAGGTTGAAATGGGTTTCCTTTCCAGGTTCAAAATTTGTCATCATCACCTTGGAATCTATTCAGGCCAGATTATGAAGTCTCCACCACAGAAGAAACGGTAATGACTGGTGAGTTACCCCAAAAGAGACACCAAAGAAACTTTCAGTTGATTCTTAAGATTTAGTAGAGGCTACTTTTGCTCTTTAATGTATGTGTTGGTGCTCAGTATCATCAAAAGAGTCCTCAGACTAAAGATCTCTAATCCAGCATTTGGATGGATTAAATGTAGTTGTTGGGGGCATCTCTCTTGCTCATATTACGTTACAAAGAGTTACACAAGCTATCATTGCTGCACCTCTATATTGTAAAGTCAAATTCCTCAACAGTCTGTTAGACTTCAATATAACCAGCGTGGAAAACAGGGATATGATGATATGGGCTGATGATGTTTCTGTGCATACCCTGAAAGGGTTGAACATCTATTATTGTATGGAACTGTATGGAATCATAGATGTGGAAAGAGTCCAGTATATAACCTTCAACTGGGAGTTGAAGTCCACACATCCTAAAGTTGCCAAGTTTGAGAAATCCTGGTTTAGAATGTTTTCAGCCAATAAAGAGTAAAAGTATACTGAAACTTGTGCAATGAAGGATCTTTTTTTTTAATCATGGTGCCTGGGCTGGTGGGTTCTTAAAGATGGACCATTGGAGTTGTGGATTAGAGTATGTTAGGGTTAGTTTCTGGATGTGTTGGTATTTGTAGAGGGTTTGAAAAGTTTTTTGGACAGTGTTTGAGTCTTCGATTGGTGAGTGTGGTCTTTAGTCTTCCCAAATAGAGCCTCCAGAGCAACATCCTAGGTAATCAGAGAAGCTTTATTGTTCCCTGTTCATGGGACTGTCAAAGTCATCACTGGATGAGTCAGCATCAGTCAGCTATTTGGTGGTAAGAGGCTTCAGGTTGGAAGAGCTACTCTCAGCTGCTGTATGGTACAATTGTGGTGGTGGCCCTTGTGAAGATCTTATTCTTGATTAAAGTAATGGTGGTGGCTCACGATTGATTCTCCTGGCTGTGAAGAAGGACCAACTTAATTTATCCACCCCAGGCTACTGGTAGACCTGGCTGGATTTCAGAGGGAACTTGGGGTTATCCCTGAGGCTCTGATGCACAGTTTGACTGAGACCTTAGTTGCTGTTTGGAATGAGAGAACAACAATGGGGATTGGATCACACCTGAGTGGAGTCTGCCTGCTTATGGATTCTGGTGGGTCCCCTGGTTTTCAGAGGATCTCCTGATGATGAAGCAGCAAAAAAGAGTCCTAGAGTACTACTGGAGAAAGACAAGTGAATCCAACCAAGCATGGGTAAGAGCATTTCTTAAGGATTATCTCATGGAGATAAGAGCAGTGAAACAGTTATCTTATTGTGTTGGCCGATTGCTTATGTAGGACCACCCTAACTCTCCTGGGTAAGGAGGGTTGGAGGAGCATTTGCAAGGTCACTGTGAGAATTATTCTCAGCATTTGGTGGATACAATCCCTCAGATCTCCTCCTAGATGAACTTTGTCTGTTCAGGTCCTATGAAGTTAATTAAGATATTTTCTTGCTCAGTTATCTGGGATAAATTTGAGCCTTTTGGTCCTGAAGAAGTGGAGAAGGTTCTTGGTGCTGTCAGGGCAGCAACCTGTGTTTTAGATCCATGCCCCTTCTGGTTCATTAAGGCCGCCAAGTAGGTGATGTGTGGTTTGATCCATGCACTGGTAAGTGCTTCCTTGAGGGAGGGCATGGTTCCACTGGGTCTTAAGGAAGTAGTGGTCTGCCTTCTCAAAAAGCCATCACTGGATCCAAAGGAGTTGGACAATTTTTATCCTGTCTCCAGTCTTCCCTTTTGCAACTGCTAAGGGTCCTAACGGAGAAAATAGATTATCTATGGACTCCTTTCAGTCTGGGTTCAGACTGGGATATACTACTAAGACAGCATTAGTTGCACTTTGTTGAGGTTTATGACAAGCTTAGGATAGGTAGAGTGCATCTATCCTGGCCCTCATTGATCTTCCAGTGGCCTTTAATACCATCAGTTGGGGTATCCTTCTGGACTGACTCAGGAGGGTGGAAGTGGGAAGCACAATTTTGAGGTGGTTCTCTATCTTTCATGATTGGTTCCAGCCAATGTTGGTGGGGGGATAAAGCTCTAATCCTACCCCTGCTTTGTGGAATGCCTCAGAATCTATTTTCTCCCCATTTTTGTTTAACATCTACATAAAACCACTGGTAAGGTTATTTGTCAGCATGGAATGAAGTAACATTATGCTAATAATATTCAGTTATACCTCTCTGATCCTGGCCAATCAAGAGATGCTATCAAGGTCTTTTATGGGGACCTGGGTGGAGAAGAACAGACTTTGGCTTACACTTATCAAGATTGAGTAGTTGTGAGTCTTGGATCTCTGAACCTGGATCTGGAGATTTTTCACCATTCTAGAAGGGGTTGTACTCCCTCAGAGCTGGTGCCCAGTTTGGACTCACCTCCTGCTTGAGGAGAAGATGCCAGCTGTGGCCAGGAGAGCTTTTAAAGAACTTCATCTTTTGTGCCAGTTGTGTCCATTCCTGGATCAGGAGGCCCTGCTTATAGTTACTCAAACCGTAGTCACTTCCTGGGTGTACTGCTGTGTGCACATATAATATCATTATTTTGCAAGTTGCAGGTGCAAATCAAGTGCTAGTTATGAGATATAAAGCTCTGCATGACCCAGGGTTGGGTTATTTGTGAGGCACATGTCTCTAATGTGCTCTCACATGGAGAGGTGTGCCTTTTCTGTGGCGTCACTTTCTGTGATTTTCTGTGGCATCACTTGCCCTTTAGAAAATTTCCCCTGCCCCAAAGATTTGGATGGCTGCAATCTTTAACTCTCCAGAAAAAAACCTGATTTTTCTTCCAGGCACTGTCCACAACAAGCGTGAACTTGTCTTCTTGGCGGTGGGGTGTATGTTTGGTTGACCACCACTATATGTTCCTTGATATACTGGCTGTGGATTTAGTTTCTTCTGATTGTATGGTGTTTCATTTGTATTCATAGTTTCCTGGTTTTATTTGATGTATCATAAAAGAGAATATCTGTAACTCACGGTTGAACTGTAGAATCCTTGGTACTCTCTGATCTTGGTGGTTTGATTGCAGACATTTCATTACCCAACTAGGTAACATCCTCAGTGTGAGGGAGCGTGGGGTTTGCTCCCTGTTTATATAAAGTAGTTTGCTCTGCCAGTTTTGGTGGGGGGTGTGGCTTTCTCCTTGATGGTTCCTTGATTAAAGTATTGTGTTTTGCTTGATTGTTAGTCTGGTGTTAATTCCTGCTTATCTGAGTGTAGGCTGCTGGAGAGGGACACATAGACACATAGAGATAAACTCCCCCATTCAAAAGAGATAATAAAAAAACTAAGTAGGAAACAAAAAGACCAGAAGACATCCTCTCCAGGAGCCTACGCCCAGATAACCAGGGATTAACATCAGACAAACAATCAAGCAGAAAGCAGTAACCCTAATCAAGGAACTACCGAGGAGAAAGCCACACCCCCACCGACACCGGCAGGGCAAGCCACTGTATATAAACAGGGAGCAAACCCCACACTCACTCGCACTGATGATGTTACCTGGTCAGGTAATGAAACCTGTGCAAGCAAACCACCAAGATCAGAGAGCACCAGGGACTCTACAGTATTTGGCGTATGCCACCAAGGAGTTGTGATTATGTGAGTTGGATGACTATGTAAATAAGTAAACTTCATTGAATGCTGGTTGAAAGGATGGGATTTTGCAGTGGAGTTAGTGAGGATGGTCTTAAAAATAGAGTTCTCTGGAGGAGGATTTTCTAAATGGAAATAAGAGTGTGGGGGGGATTTAAGAAACAGTATCTTGGCCTATCCATTGGGCTTAAGCAACTTTTCCAAACTTGGTAGCTTTTCAGATATGTTGGGACTAAAGCCCCCAGAATTCCTAGCCATTCAGGCACCAAGGAAAGGTCGGTCTAGAGCTGTGTTGTCCAAACTTGGCCAGTTTAAGATGAGTGGACTTCAACTCCCAGAATTCCCCAGCCA